TCCTGTAGATACTTGCCCCCAGATGTTACTAAGGAGGACTGTGGACGGGTTTATTTTGATGTTTTTTCCATTGCCGAGGTCAATGCCAAATGATCTGCCTCGTCTCATTTCTTTAAGGTTTTGTGACGATTAATACAACTGATTGGCTTGCTAAGCCGTTTCAGAGGGGAGTTGGGAGTCAACTACATTGCTGAGGGTCCACAGGCCAGACCAGACAAGAATGGCAGATTGAGGTGGAAATCTCTCCTTAAAGCAATTAATGTACCTCTATGATCCCAACTGATCATATTTTGATTTTTGATACTAACAGGATTTTTTTCACTTTAAAAGAAAGCACAGATGATGTAGATTTGGCTTTAACAATAAAACAGATTTTCTTATGTAAAAAGATGAAGGCAGGTTATTAAAACAAAAGTTTAAAGATTTTGAAGGACATGGTAAAATATAATTCCATTAATCCCAACAGCACTCCTTTACAGTACTCACACCAGAAAGAACTGCCTTCTCTATCTCTTATATAAGGCTTAATTTAATTGTGGTTTCAATTCCCCATCCTGAGAACCCAACGGACTAATCTGGAGTCTTCATTCGACTGAGCTTAGATTTTCTCCGCTTCAAATAACCGCCTCAGCATTTTGACCAAATACTTCCGGTCTGGAATTTTCAAGCTAAACTCCTTACACCAACATAAACTATTTCTTAACAGTTCTAAACTTTTGCCCTTCTTCTAGACCAGATGTCCTACACATCAACTTTCAACCAAGACTTATAGAAAACCTGCCAAACAAAACAAGATCTGGATCCTTCTGTGTGAAATCTAATGCAAAACTGTTCTTGTAAAACTTGCCCAAGGAAAATAAAATCACATTACTCACCAGGAAACTCTGATATTCCTTTAAAGTCACCATGGCTACGTAAAAAAGTTGATCGTTAAACCTCTTCCCACATACAGAAAACTCACATGCCTCTAGTTCAAAATCCAATATGTAAAATAAATGAAGTTATGACATAAATCACACACCTTGCATCACACAACTTTAAACAGTGAATGTCTACAGAGCAAGCCACCAGAGCAGAGATGGCCTCACCCCTGATATTTTCTCCAGGGTGGAATGGATGTAACAGTTCACTCAGAAGCTTGGTAAATAGCAGAGCAGCTTCATGGGCTGAACTACACCTGCTCTGTATTCTTCCATTACTATGTTCATGTACATTACATGTCAATTGATGAGATTTGAAATGTGAGGGGCAAGCTTTTTACACAGGGAATAGTAAGAGTCTGGAACACGCTGCCAGGGGTGGTGGTGAAGGCAGATACAATAGGGGCATTTAAGGGACTTTTAGATAAGCATATGACTAAGCAAGGAATGGAGGGATATGGACCAAGGGTAAGCAAAAGGGATTAGTTTGACTTGGTGTCATGGTCAGCACAACATTGTGTGCTGAAGGGCCCATGTCTGTGCTGGACTGTTCTATGTTTTATAATTTAAAAACCTCTTCAGCACAGCCTGTCACCTTTCTGATTAAAAGACAAAGTTTTGAAGCTTATTTAAAATGCAGTGGTGGTTTATCCCTAATTAAAATACATCCCTTGCATCAATAGGGACATCAGCATGTTTAAAGAGGTGAGTATAACCTTCTGCACTCAATTTGTTTGAAGTTAATCCTAAATGTAAATAATAAAGATCGTCTTCACAGCGAGCTTTGAGTGCAGAGTTGCCAATTGTTTCTCACCATGACATGAACCTGATTACCTGACTTACACACAAACAATGTCACTGTGAAGACTGTGACAAGTCTCAGGAACAAGAAGACAATTGCCAAATACATGTTTCAACAAAATGATGTCCAGTTAAATAACTGCCAAGGGTGGCAGCATTTCCAGGAAACCTTCTTAAAACAAGAACAAAAGAAATATTTCTAAAATGGTATGGCATCCCCATTTCAAACTTTGTGCTGTGGGCACAAGATCTCAAAAGCCATCCTTAATTGACTTGTGGAGATGTTTGTGCACACAGCAAATGAAGCATGAAATGTTGTTTTGCACCAGAACCACTCAGAGTTGGAAGCCAAAATCCCTCCCAAAAAGCACACTGCCTCTGAACTCTAATCCTTCTCTCCTGCTCATGCACCAGATGGCTCCACACTGTACATCAGGAGTTGATAAATTCTGTCACACACAGGATTGAGTTTAAAAAAATTCTGGCAGAGAGAAGATTACCATTTCCAGCAATAGCTTCTCAAGCAGATGGCACCTGAGGTTATCTGTTATTATAAATCCAACTGCCAGCAACGGGTTTTATCATTTCTTCACTGAGCTGCTTGCTGATAACTTTCTAACACCAATTCCATTAAAATGAAGGAGATGAACAGTGCTGTGTCATGTAAACCTCTTGCACCTTGACTGCAAAGAATGCTGTGGTGGTAATTGAGAAGTTTGCAGTCTCGACCACTCACCTTATGAAGATCACATGTCACTTCGTGATTTCTTTTGGAAAAGGGAGTGGGAAAGGAATGGCAGGCAATCATCAGAACACAGCAAATACAAAACAAGAACAAAACATCCCTGAATCTTTAAAACACTGCTGAAGTTAGCTGAACATTTTTAAATTCCTTTCAGCATTAGGTGGCCGTGATATTTTTTGGCTGCGCAGTGCCATAATGCTAGTCCAAAAATGGTCTCTGTAAATTCAACTGGAAACATCGCAGACACAATTGTAATTGCCAGTTATGGGCAGCTATAAAGGACCTCTGCACTTACAGATTTACACTCAATTGCAGAACCCCTATCCTTCGTGGTGAATTGTTAATATTATTAGAGAATTGGTGGCAGTGTCAGTTCCATTATAACATTGAAAAGATTCTGAACTGAATTTATCTACCATCTGTTCAACAACCAACACAGAATCCAAAGAAAGGCTTGCATTTATATAGCACTTTCCATGACCTCAGCATCCCAAAGCCTTTTACATCCAACTAATTGCTTTGAGAGTATAGTCACTGTTGGAACAATAGATGTGGCAGCATCATGATTTGATTTTGTTACTGGGCCCTTCAGAGATTTCTGCTGTAATTTTGTTTGATTTGTTCCTTTAAAATAGTAAAAATGTGGAAGACTGTTGAGGTTGGTTGGCTCGCCGAGCTGGTTCATTGTTCTGCAGACGTTTCGTTACCCTGCTGGGTAACATCATCAGCGCAGTCTCCGATGAAGCGCCGTTGTGTTTTCCCACCTGGTATTTAAACTCTGGAATCTGTTGAGCTAGATTACCTGGATAACCTGGGTCCACAAACACCAATTGAATACAAAAAGACATGATCAAAACTCACTCATCTCAATCCACATGGATAAGGAGAACCACCAATTCGACCAGGACAACACCAAAATCCTGGGACAAGCAAAGCAGAGACAGGCATGAGAATTCCTAGAAGCCTGGTACTCCACGAAGAAAGCCATCAACAAACACATAGAACTCGACCCCATATACACTCCACTGCGAAGGAAAACCGGAAGTGAGGTAATCCAGCTCAACGGACTCCAGAGTTTAAAAACCAGGTGGGAAAACACAACGGCGCTTCATCGGAAGCTGCACTGATGATGTTACCCAGCAGGGTAATGAAACGTCTGCGCAACAACGAACCAGCTCGGCGAGGCAACCAACCAAAACACCCACAACCCGAGCTACAAATCTACCCCAAAACCTTAATGTAGAAGACTATTTCTGCACAGCAAGCTGCAACATGATATCGACTGGATAATCATTTTTAGCCATGAGGGATAAATATTGTTGAGTTTATCAGGTGTCACTGCTCCCTGACTCTTCCTCAAATAGAGAAGTGGGATAAGTTACATGCAGTTGAGAGAGCAGAAAGGTATAAGACCTTGTCTGAAAGGCAGCCTCTTTGACAGTGTTGCCCGCTTTCAGTACAGCATTGGACGGTCGGAATTTGATTTCTTGGAATAACACTTGAACCACAACCTGAGAGGACCGAGAGGTGATCCACTGAGACACTCTTGACATTTACATCGGTGGAGGTTTGGTTAACTACTGAAGACTCCGGAGTAAACATTCCTCTGTAATGCTTGGACATAAATATTTGCTTCAGTGAAACACATAGTGGAAAGCCAGAGGAGGATGACCACAAGACAAAACAGTGCAGGACAACGAAAGGACCCTCTGTCACTTTGAATGCTGAAATTTAATCATGATCAAAAGGCAGTAAAACTACAGAATCTCAACCAATCTACAAAGCTAAGGATCATGAAGCTGACTGGCCAATGTAAATGGTAGCAGCAGCCTTGAGTGCAAAAGCTGTAATGTTCAACTTTTTACTTTTTACAAACAGTTCAGAGAATAATCCATGTATCTTTTATTTTTAACTTTTATCCTTTTGGAATCAACTCTTATTTCTAATCTGTGTATTATATTATTATTTCTTCTCAAGTTTAGGAATCAATACACTCACTATTTATTAATTCAAGAAAGTCTGACTAAATTGGCTCCTGTTAAAACAAAATTACCTGTGGGTCTGAGAGAAAGGTAGCCACAAGGAAAGGGATTTGTTTAATTGAACCTTATTGCTACCAATTAAAGCGTGGGTGAATCTGTCACCCACGCTGGAGCTGAATGGCCTGGAATCGTAATGAAATGGGGAACCTCGCCTTGGGACGGGCTGTAACACTTCAGAGAAAAGGTGAAAGTAAGAATGCAACAACAACTTTTAGCTTATGCAAAATACTGTTTCATTCGTGGATTACATTTACATTAAACCCTTAATAATACAGATGAGTTTTCCTGCAGACCATAACTGCTACTTCCTGTGACTAATGGTGAGCCAAATCAAGATCCTACATATACGCAATCAAACCAGCAGAACAAACAGAATGGTGAGGAATTGTACCATGTGCAAATTAATTGTAACGCAACCTTTTTCTATACATTTATGACATTACTTTCCTCCAAAGTTATGAAATTAATCGAGAAAATACAGACACACTAAAATAAACACCAAGCTTTATTTTGTCTTGTCAACATTGAAACACGTTTTTAGTGATAAATAAATTCACTTATTATTCAATAAGCTCACAGGCAATGATCAACAGATTTTTAACACTGAGCCAAGGACTGAAAAACAAAACAATGTGCTGTTTTATTCAGATGAACAGATTCTACTACAGTTGGTGACTACCTAATATCTATAACATAACAAATGCCACAAATAAAACATATTGTTTTCATAACTTATACACCATCGATGCTGTCTCTCACTTGTATTATGCAAGTTGTCAGTTCCATTCTCCTGTGTTCGATGGTGCATGAAGCAATTAACCCACACTTTTGCTGCTTTCTTTACATTAAACAGATCATGATTTGCCTTGACTGAAATTTATATTTATAAGTCTGTGACAGATACGTCTTGTCTCTGGATTATTTCCATATGAGTGGGTTGCTTAACTGGCTATTACTTTCAACTTATCTGGACTGGGCAGCCCTTGTCAGAAGTTATACTGCCGTTTGCATTACTCTCAGGGTCAAAACAGACAGAAACCTTCCCATCACCGCCAGGCAGGTATTTTGCATCAATGATGCTGATGTACACTTTGTGCTGCATTTCAACTGAATATACAACCCTTGCTACAAAATTATGGAAGTAGATGTTTACCTCAGAATGAATATTCCCCATCAAACTCTAAGATCTAGAAGCAAAAGTAGGCCATTGAGCCCATCAGGTCCGCTGTGTCATCCAGTAAGATCATGGCTGATCTGGTAATCCCTAACTTCATTTTCCTGTCTTTTCCCCAATCCTTGATTCCCTTACTGATTAAAAATCTGTCTCTCTCTGCCTTAAATGTACTTAATGGCCCATCCCTAACAAAGAATCCACTACCCTCTGAGAGAGATAAAAAATCCTCATCGCTGCCTTAAATGGATGGTCTCTTATTCTGAGGTGATGTCCTGTGGTCCTAGACTCTCCTACATGGGGAAACAATCTCTCTGCATCTACCTTGTCAAGTTTCCTAAGAATCTTGGATGTTTCAACAAGGTCGCTGCTCACTTTTCTAAACTCCAATAATTACAGGCACAACCTACTCAATCTCTTCATATAAGACAGTCCCTCCAAACCCAGGATTAGATGAGTGAACCTTCATTGGACTGCCTCCAATGCCAGTATGCCTTTCATTTGTTTTCTTTTCCTAAATGGAATTCTGGGAGTCTGGATGTTTCAGAATGTCATTGACAATAATGAAGCTGTTGTATTTAAAGTGATTTTGAGTTTGTGTCGGCTCATTGTTGTGTTGGTCAGCACCAGAGAGGCGTTCAGGATCTTCCTAATGGCCACTCGCTGACCGATGTTTCCACAGCGCCTACCATCTCGATGGTTTTGTGTTTATCACACACATTGGAAGTCAGGTTCATTGAGCAAGCCTTCAGCAAAGCCAAGCTTTGGTCTGTGGCAACCATCCACGCCAAAACCTTTCAAACGCATACCCCTGATTCCAGTAATGTGCTAGAAGAGAGCTTCAACTGCAGTTTTTAATGAATGATTTGTACAATTCAAGGTGGAGAGTAGATGGTGCTGGAGAGTACAGCAGGTATTAGTATCAACAACAGGCATCCCTGGTCATGTTAGGGACAAAGCCAAACTTCCCGTATCCCAAATAATCTGCATCAATCCAACTCTCAATTCTACCCCTTCAATCTTCATTGTGACATTTTACCATTGTCTATATCAGTATAAATGAAGTGGTCTGTTTAGCCCCAGATTTTTAATTGGATCGCAGCTGGAATATTATGTAAAAATACTGGATACCACACTATAGGAAGGATCTGAATGCATTGGAGAGCGTGCAGAAGCAATTTGCAAGAATGGGTCCAGGAATTAGAATCTTCATTGATGGGGATAGATTGAAGAAGCTGAGACTGTTCTCCCTGCAGAAAGGAAGGCAGAGAGGAGATTTGATAGTGGTTTCCAAAATCACATGTGACTGGATAGAGTAGATAAGGAGAAGCTGCTCCTGCTTTGTAACAAGAGGACATAGATATAAAGTACTGTGCAATAAAAGCCAAGGTGAAGAGGAAAGAGTTTTTCACACAGCGAGCAGTCAGGGTCTGGAATGCACTGCCTGGAAATGTGATGGATGCAGGTTCAGTTGAGGCGCTCAAGAGGGGCATTGGATGATTATTTGGATAGAAATAATATGCCAGGGATGAGGAGATTGGCACAAGGTAATGAGGTTCAATTAACGAGCTGGTGCGGGCACAATGGACCGAACGGCCTCTTTCTGCACCAGAACTATTCTGAGATTCTGTGAAATTGAGGTTATTTTTGTGGTAAAGGTTTTTTGCTGAGAGGAACTGGGCTCTAACTGGCAAATCATGTTTCTTTCGACAGAATTACAGTCATTCGAGAAAGAAAACAGGGGCTGGTTCTGTATCTTGATCCTAGAGATGAAAGGCCTTGAGCTAACCACTGGAACCCTCCAACTGAAATTAATGCATTTTCAAACTTTTACATTGAATAGTTCATATAAATGGTACAAATTGGAATCAACGATAAAAAGACTGTACCTTGCTTCAAATCAATGCCAGTTATACACATTGCAAATCGAGTTCCAACTGTTCGGTAACTCAGAAAACTTGGGTCTCGAGCTCCTCTGTTGATTAGTTTAAGCTCCTGGTAACATGTTCATTCTGCACAGCAGTAATTACTTCTGAACACTGTCTTTAAGGTGTCAATAGGTACTGTACCCACAGCCATTGAATCTTGTTTCCTACAGATATGTCTGGTGAGAATAGCCACACACTCCTGCCGAAAGGCAGACGATGCAGAACTAAAGAGCCAGAAGTTTATGGCAGAATTAAACCATTGGAGCATAAACAAGATGTCTGGTACCACATTTGTAATTGTGCTGTAATCAAAATAATTCACACCACCCAAGGAATGTGGTAAACACTCTGAAACGAACCGGGGCAGACCGAGAGCAACAGCAGTGAATGAAACAACGAGCAATATCTGAAGTGACTTCTTGATTTTTATTCTGGTGATTCTGAATGCAGTGTTCTCAAATTCCGGATGAATCTTGGTTTTTGTGTGTAACCGGCAGGCTATCAGCACACTGAAGACGAGGATCAATAGATAAGGAACACCACCTGATATAATTGTGTGCAGCCAAATAGCTGTGGGAAAGTATGTGTTGTTGAACATGGCACATTCTCCAGTGTAATTCATTAAAACGGATCTGCTTACCATCACCGACCTTCTGGAAAATTTATTCAAAAGAAAAGCAATGAATGCTGATGTGTAAGAAAGGCCCACGGCTGCCACAACAGCGCAAATGGCATTCTTTGGCTTAGTTGTGTGGTGCTTCAGCCCCTTGTTGGATATAACGATGTACCTTTCGATAGTGAAGGCCATAATAATCCAGACCGAGCAAAGAATGGCGCCGTATTCCAAAATGATGGATAGGCACCACCAAGGGGTGTAGACCCAGCTGGCATTCGGGCCCAGCCACAGCTTTGCTAGATTCAAGATGGCAGCCCAGATTAGGCAGATGGTGTCTGAAATAGCCAGTGCAGTTAAATAAATGGTCGTCGTTTTGGAGAAACTGCATGCGCGGTGACAGATGATATAAACCGCAAACAAGTTTCCTTCAAACACACCAGAAACACAGACAAGTTAATATCAGCCTACAAACCTTGCAATGAATCCTAATTCTTATTCTGCAAGAAAAATTAAGTCAGTATTACCGAAAAGCACATGTTAAATCCGATGTTATATCAAAAGGCAGTCAGCTCAGTGGGGTTGGTCAGCTCAGTTGGCTGGACAGCTGGTTTGGAATGTAAATGGATACCCAACAGCACATGGTCAGTTCCTGCTGGTGGTGAGGATACCATGAAGACCTCATCCTTCAGCTGAGATGTGGTATCCATCAGGTTAAACTCCCCATCAGAGAGTGGGACTATGCTGGCTTCACTTTCCTCAATGAAATGAAGCTGGTGATTTACAACAACTCAACATTTCACTGCGGTTCATTAAATATGAAGCTCTCATGCTGACTCTGAACACTGGGCTCTTTATTTAAGACATCCATCCCTCTTTCGGGTAACCTGGAAACCCTGATATTTGTAAACAGATGGTCTCGGATTGAGGTCTGGCAGGCAGTCTCACTGACACTTCTGAGAGTGAACTATATCAGTTCAAGATGGAGCTGCTAAATGGAGCATTTTGGCAGAGTGTGACATTCCAATCTTGGAAGCAGTGTAGTCATCATTCCTCACCTCCATGGAACTGCTCGACAACTCATGGGAGTTCCTGCCGAAGGGAAAAGTAGTTTTGCAAACTAACACTTGGGAGGGAAGAGATTTGAGAAAAGATAAAGCTTAAGCTATCATCAGGATGTGAATTACCAGAATATTTGACATTTTAAACAGGTTCAAAAGAAATATTTTATTTAGTTTAAATGTGTGGTGATTGGAACCAGGGCCAGGTGGATCTCATTTACTATGAATTCCCTGAATGTAGTTGTTAGTTTGGGCCAATCAGGGTGTCCTGGCTGATAGATATAAACAGGAGATTCAGAAGGTCTGCTCAGTCAAAGGACTGGCTTTGAGGTGGCTGGTCAGAGCCCATGTACTGTGCACATGCAAATAAAGGGTGACTTGGTGATGTGATACTGGCCTCTGTGCAGTTATTTCAAAAACAAAGTGATAGAAGTGATAGAAGCAAAACACTACAGATGCTGAAAATCTGAAATGAAAACTGAGAATGCCATCAAGCAATATCTGTGGAGAGAAAAGCAGAGTTAATGTTTCAGGTCTGATGTGACTTCTTCAGAGGAGTCCCATTCTCAAAATGATACCGTGACAACTATCACTGATTGTCATGAATACCCATCTGGCTCACTGCAGTCCTTTAAGGAAGGAAATGTGCCGTCCTTACCTGGTCTGGTCTATGTGTGACTCCAGACCCACAGCAATGTGGTTGACTCTGAACTAGAAAGGGCAAGTAGGGATGGGCAATAAATGCTGGCCTAGCATGCCATAAATGAATAAAAAAATCTGCCATGAGACTGGAATATGAGCATTTTCTGATCCAAAGGGAAGAATGTTACAAATAGAGTCAAGATCAGAGCCAGCCTTTACAGCTTTTTCTCTTCATTTAGGGCAAAAATTCCCACTTGATTTATATTCCATCCACAACATCCAAAATCCTCTCCCTTCACTAGCAGATGCACAATGAATACCATCTACAAGATGCACTGAAGTTACTCCTTTGATGCTCTTTCCAAACCCACAGCCTCCACCATCTGGAAGGACCAGTACAGCACTATCACCTGCAAGCTTACCTTTAAGATTCACTTCATCCTGACATGGAACAATATCAGTTTAGCTTAACTGTCTCTGGGTCAAAATCGTGGAGTGGCCTTCTAAACAGCATTGTGGATGTTCTTATACTATGCAGACTGCAGCGGTTCAAGAAGGCAGCTCAGCACCATGTTCTCCCGATCAGTCATGGGAAATGAATGACACCTACTCCCCATGAAACCATAAAGAACACAAACATTCCTGTCTGAAAAGTCACCTTTGCCCTTCAAAAAGCATATTGTAATTGATAGTTTATCTAACTGGGACGCGCTTTTAGCCAAAAGGCATTGTAGGCATTCCGCTCTTCGGTTTCAGCCACTCTTGCTTTTTAATGGACTGTAAGTAGGAATATGGCAACAGGTGAGTGTTGCTCAGATATTTCTCCTTACTTCATGTTGAGGATGAAGCTGGTCTCTAATATTGCTTTCAGGAGGTTTAGCTCAGTTTGCTGTTATTAATGACAGCTGCATTTCAGACACTTTGCCATGTTTCATATTCAATTTGTCACTTGATTGGAATTTTACTTTATTAATTCAATTTCTATGGTTTTGGAACCAGAGGGCATAATCTCGGAGTGAGGAATCACCAGTTTAAGGCCAAGGTGAAGAGGAATTTCTTCTTTCAATGTGTATTGAGTCTGCGGAATCCTTTACCACAGAGGACAGTTGAAGTTGGGTCACTAAGTATATTCAGGTCTGAGACAGATTTATAATCAGTAAAGGAATCAAGGGTTATGGGGAAAGGCAGGAAAGTGGAGTTGAGGATTAGCAGATTAGTCATGATCTCATTGAAAGGCGGAGCAGATTCAATGAGCTGAATGGCCTGCTTTAGCTCCTGAAAGTAATCATTTTTCTCAGCGAGAAGATGGAAGTGTAAGTGCAGAATGAAACACAGGAAATGTTATAAATATCTCCCCTTTCTTGTTTTCTTTCCCAGAGTGAACAATATCTTACACAAATCTCTGTCCTAACAAAATCAGATGCGCAAGAAGAATAGAAAATATTGTATTTATATAACTCTTTCCACAATAACAGGATTACCCAAAACACTACACAGCTAGAGCAGTACATTTCAAAATGTAGTCCCTGTTGGAATGTAGGAAGAGCAGCAGCAAATGTATGCACAGCAAGATCCCACAATCAGCAATGTGAGAATAACTAAATAACCTCTTTGAGAGATGAATATTGGTCCCAGGACATTGGGGAGAACTTCCCTGCTCTTCCATGAAAGAGTGCCGTAGGATCTTTTATATTCCCCTGACAGAGCCTCAGTTTAACACCTCACCCTGAAGCCTCAACTGCAACCCAGCAGCACTCCCTCAGCGGCACACTGGAGCCCTCTCCCAGACTGCTGCACTCAACCCCCTGGGGTGGGGCTTGAATCCACAACCTCTTAACCAAAGGCAGCTCTGCTGGCTCACAGCAAGTTGGACCTGGGTTTGATTCCACCCTCAGACGACTGTCTGTGTGGAGTTTGCACATTCTCCCCATGTCTGTGTGGGTTTCCTCCGGGTGCTCTGGTTTCCTCCTACAGTCCAAAGATGTTCAGGCTAGGTGGATTGGCCATGGGAAATTACCCCATTGTGCCCAGCGATGTGCAGGCTGGGTGGATTAGCCATGGGAAATGCAGGTTTACAGGGATAGGGTAGGGAGTCAGGCCTGGGTGGGATGCTCTTTCAAGGATCAGTATGGGTCAAATAGACTGCTTCAATATTGTAGGGATTCCATTATAGAGGTGAAAGTATTAACAAGTAACAGAGTATGCCAGTGTTTTTATTGTTATTACCTAAGCATTCTTTTTGATTTCCAAACATCCAGTAATTGTGGCTGTCTGTAAAATTTGTTTTTAGGATCACATGACTGCTTCATATTTAAGGAAAAATATTTGCAAAGTAACCAAGATAAAATAAAGACAGGTTATAAGATTTCTGAAGCAGTGTTGACGGTATCAGTTGGTTTGCTGTCAGAGGATCCAAACATTCTCCAGACCTTGAAAACAAAAAATGCTGGAAAACACAACGCGTCAGGCATCATTCCTGTGATCTCCAGCATTTTTTGTTTTCAGTATAAATTCCAGCATCTGCAGTAATTTGCTCCTATTTTTCCAGGCCTTTAGGTGTTCAGGGTACATCAATAATGGCACATTCAGTGAGCACAAGTTCCTAAGAAAAATTGTCAAACACTTCAAAACACAAACAGTTGAATTTAAGCTTTACATTACAGAAAAGAGATTAAAGATTTATACCTGGAATCCCAAGAGCACACAATGCTACGTAATATACTTTTTGAAGCTCAATGAATGGTTGTGACATTCTATTACTCATCTTTTAGAAGTTACCTATTTTTATATACTCCACTGCACGCTTGGGTTTTCTGTTGATTAAATAATCACGTAGAAATCTCCTTAGCAGCATAGATTCAGTGCTGTAGCTGTTCACACTTTGATAAAACTGACACCGTTAATGTTGTTTGTTGCCAGATGAAAACTCTCCTCCCACTGACTTTTTACTGGTCAATACTATTTGTTTCATACTACACAGGAAATAACGACTTCACAGCATAATCAGTTCTGGCAGACGGGAAATGATTTGTCTTTTATTAGTTATTATGGGTGGCATGGTAGCTCAGTGGTTTGCACTGCTACCTTATCAGCGCCAGAGAACTGGGTTCGATTCCAGCCTCAGTTGACTGTCTGCTGCACATTCTCCCTGTGTCTGTGTGACTTTCCCCCCTCAGTCCAAAGATGTGCAGGTTAGGTGGATTGGCCATGCTATAGTGCCCAGGATGTGCAGGCTAGGTGGGTTAGCCACAGGAAATGCAAGGTTACAAGAATAAGGTGGATCTGAGTGAGAGGGTCAGTATGGATATGATGGACCAAATAGCCTGCTCCCACACTGTGGGGATTCTATAAAGTTCTTACAGAGCAGTGCAGGTGTAAAGTCATACTTTAGGAAGACTTGCATTTACATACCACCTTTCACAACCTCCAGACGGCCCAAAATGCTTCACAGGCAATGAGTGCTTTTGAAGTGTAGTCACTGCTGTAATGTAATAGATGCCTGCTGGTGCACAGCAAGAGCCCAGAAAGAGCTGGACTGCTGCCTCATTAACCTAAGGGTCATCATGCCTAAGGCAAAAGGAGAGGTTGAGATGGAGAGTTCTTCCTAGTAACATCAGCCAGGTAGGAATTGAACCCTGCATTTTGGCATCACTCTTCAATGCAAAACAGCCATCCAGCCAACTAAGCTAATCAATCAAACACCCCCAGCCCCCCAGAAAGAGCACTGTGAAACTGATGGTTTTAGTGATTACTAAATTACACTGGAGCCTGGGAGGTTGAGAGAGGACCTTATGGAAGTTTATAAATTCATGAGGGGTATAGATAGGATTAATAGTAGGTGTATTTTCCCAAGAATGGGGATTTCCAGGCGAGGGGGCACATATTTAAGGTGAGAGGAGAGAGATTTAAAAAAGACACAAGGGGCAAATATTTTACATAAAGGGTTGTTCATGCCTGGAATGAACTTCCTAAGTAAGTGGTGGATATGGGTATAATTACAATGTTTAACAGACATTTGTATAAGTACATGAATAGGAAATGTTTGGAGGGATATGGGCCACGAGCAAGCAGGTGGTTCTAGTTTAGTTTGGGATTGTGCTTGATATGGACTAGTTGGGCCGAAGGGTCGTTTTCCATGCTGTATGACTCTATGGCTCGACTATCCAGGGCACCAGGAGATCTTCCATTGTCTTCTTCAAAACAAGGTCCTAAGATCTTCCATGGCCATCTGAGAGAGCAGAGCTAAAGGTGTCACCTCTGACTCAGAGGGAAGACCTCTATCCCTGAGGCAAATGTAAAGTTAAATCAAGCAATAAAATTTTGAAATTTCTTTGCAAAATAATGTGGATTTTGGTCACAGGACTGCCACTAAAATCACTTCCTGCAAGGGCAACATCACTGCCAAATGCTTCATTTATAGCTTTGGGGATTTGGTGGGTTTCTTAAACAATGTACTCCATTGAGTATGGTGGATTCTCATGAGGGTCTCATTTGGTGTTAAATCAGAAGGGAGTGCTAAGGGCAAAAACAACGATTGGTGGGGCCGGAAGATTTACAATGCTGGCCAGATTCCCCACCCTGTTCCTGGCATCATTCCTTTTAGCTGATACATATTTGTAAGCCAGGAACACCACTGTCCTGATGAGGCAGGCAGCGAATTGGGTTCAGTCAGAGTTTTGTTAAAGGTGGGAGTCTGACTGAGATTTCTTTAGTCAGCCTCCAATTTCCCAACACAACAGTATCAGATTAACTGCCTAGAGGCAGACATCCAATAGCAGGCTAGGATTCCAACGTTCCAGTTAACCCCTTCTCCTTGTTTGGGTGAGGATGCATCCAGAAATCACCATGCTGAGAAGCTCCTGCTCCCCACACCCCCCTGAGACTCACTCAGTCTCACAACTCTCATCCAACTCACCAGCGTGTCAATCTGTCCATCCCCATGCCTGAGGATTGCTGAACAGCCTGCAACATCCTCCCTCACTCACAATTCCCACACCTCCGCTGCACTACTCCCAATCCCTCAAACTACTAACTCTGAATGGCCTCTGCTCTGCCTACTCCTTCGTTCAGGGCACCTCACTATCTTCCTCCCAACTGCAGTGTCTCGCTGGCCCACGGGCTGCCCTGCCAAGAGAGCGGATCCCTCAGAGGGAGCACAGGTAAATCTGCCTCCTGCACCCTCCACCAGCTCAGACACTGACAGGTCGCTCGACCTTCAGCTCAATTAGACTTAGGAACACAAGTTGGTGAGCACATTACTGCCATGCCTCCACAGCTGGCTGAGGAAGAAACAGTCCAGATCACCGGTACTCCTGCTGCCCCGGGCAGGAGAGGACCCTGGGGGTGTGGGTAAACAGTGATTTTGTGCACAGGCACAATCTCACCTTGGAGCAGCAGGCAGATACATGAGTGACAGCGGCTGTAGCAATGTAGCTCCTCATGAGGACCCAGCTGCTTCCAACACGCGATGTTCTGAGTACTTCCATGGACAGGTTGCTGGCTGCCATGGAGATCCATGGCTCATGGGCTGCATTAAAAGCACACGGGCTTGCACTCCATAACTCTAACCATTGTTTGTCGGCAGCGACAGCAACAGGTAAGTAGACACAAGGGCCTTGAAAGATTGTGGGTTCCAGCATTGTGGACATGGGATGCATGCAGCTGCTGCCCTGAGGCATTATTGCTGGGTATTTAAGATGGCAGCCTGAAGGAGTAAGCAGTGAGCTGGAGTCACCAAGGTACCTCCTCATGTTCAAAGTGACCTTTCTCACAGTGGGTAGTAAAACAAAAAAAATTATTGTCAATGAGGCTGTTAACAAGAAGTAATTTCCCTTAGCAGGCATTTTGCCACTCCCTAATGACAAACTCATCTCAATGCTCAGAACTGTCTTTGAAAATGCAACAAGTTGCTCCCAAAATCACAAAAGGACTCACCTGATTTCTCATGCAATGACCCCACATTTGTCAGGTTATAGAAATTCAGTCCGTTTTCTCCAGAATTTAGAAGTTTAAGGGATGATCAGATCAAAACCTTCAAGGCAATAACAGGAAAAGACCTAGTAGATAAAGATAAACCATTTCCACTGGTCAGGAATTCGAGAAATGGGGAGCATAGTCTGAGAATTAAGGCCAGACTGTTTAGGAGAGATGTTGGGAAGCACTTCGACACATTAAGAGTGGGAGAGGTTTGGAGCTCTCTTTCACGAATCGCAGTGGATGCTGGGTCAGTTGTTAATTTTAAATCAGAGATACATCATTTTTTGAGATGAAGTGATATGGGTCAAACGCAGATATATGCAGTGAGGCCATAGATCAGCCATGATCTCATTGAATGGTGGAACAGGCTCAAGGGGCTGATTGGCCTACTTCTGTTCCTATCTTCCTATATCATTCAGACCCCTATAAGCCTCCATCCTGTGATGCATGAATCACAGAATAATCTCTTTGACCCTCAAGTAGCCTCAGTTCAAATGGCCAATTCTGTGAACAATGCACTACACAAGAGCTATTTCAGGTTTAGTATGGTTTAAACAATTACGTTGCTTGATAGGTCAGTTGATATTATAAAGTGATTTATTACTACATAATAACTTCTGAGTTTTTAACAATAGAAGAGCGTTGTACCGAGGTGGGAATTAAGATGAACAACAAGTACTTTTCTGGAAGTTTTATTTGCTTTTAAATAAATTGCCAATATTCTTTGCTCAGGCAAATAATTTGTTATCACACCAACCACTTAGAAGTCACCATCTACCCTGCTTCTAGAAGATTGCTTGTAAAATGGGATTATCGAGAAGTAAATTGAACAACGTATGATAGGAATGAAATTTTTCTGGATTTCTGACATGTGCCACAGGCCGGGGATTTCATTCAAAAAAAATTTTAACAAAAAAATGGGAGCAACCAGTCCCAGAAATATTCCTCTTTGGAATGAAACCCATCATGTCTGGGTACAGGCTTGAGACCTGGTTTTGCTGCTCCTATGTTTGTAACCAGTATGGCCAATTTGGAGCAGCTTTGGCAAAGTCTGGAAACTGGAGAGGAAGAAGGAAGAGATTTGAGTGAAAGAAAATCGTTTGAGGCATAGCATCATTGGAAAGTCCTTCAACAATGCCTTATATCATATGATAGTAACTTCTTCCTTGTCACCTTAACACCTCCTTAGTAAATGCTCTACAGATTCCCTGCAGTTTGGCAAAGAATCTGAGATCTGATTAGTTATGTTAACCTCAGTGTTAACGTGAATCTCTGCTGTTTAGGCAGACAACAGTTGATCGCATGTCACTTTGATGAGGGAAACTAAAACCTTTGGCCAACACTTCCTATCAGCGAGGATCACCTTGTGTTTTCTTTTCCCCTGTAATGTTTGATGGGATATGGTCAACACCATCAAGGCCAATATTCTGTTACCCATCATCTGTGTATTTTGCTCAGACATATGAGACGGCAGTTCAGATTCAGTCCCCTTGCTGTGGGGCTGGAGTCACATGTAGGCCAGACCAGGTAAGGATGGCAGCTTCCTTCACTTAAAGGGCATTAGTGAACCAGAAAGGTTTCTTCCTGACAAATGATGATAGTTTTGCCAACATGAACATTTTTTTTTCTAAATTTTGATCACTTTAATTTAAAATCCATCAGCTACCATGGTGGGTTTAGACCTTTGTTCCAAGAGCATTAGCCTGGGTTTCTGGATTACAAGCCCAGTAACACTCCCACTGCACTACCTCCTTTATTAAATATGAAAATTATTGTTGTTTTTCCTCATTTAACATTGGTGAATCATAGAATCATAGAATCCCTACAGTGTGGAAGCAGACCATTCAGTCCACCAAGCCCACAGAGACACTCCAAACGGTGTCCCACCCAGACCCACCCCTCCCTACCCTATCCCTGTAAACCTTTATTTCCCATAGCTAATCCATCTAACCTGCACATCCCTGGACACTGTGGGCAATTTAGCATGGTTAATCCACCTA